GGGGTGTGGGTGTGGGTGTGGGTGGTGTGGGTGTGGGTGTCGGTGTGGGTGGTGTGGGTGTGGGTGTGGGTGGTGTGGGTGTGGATGTGGGTGTGAGTGTGGGTGGGTGTGGGTGTGGGTGGGTGTGGGGTGTGGGTGTGGGCGTGTGTGGGTGCGGGTGTGTGTGCGGGTGTGTGGGTGGGTGTGGCTGTGGCTGTGGCTGTGGGTTGATGAATCAGGTACCAACTCCCACACCCACACTCACCCACACACCCACCCCCACCCCCACCCCCACCCCCACACCACACCCACACACACCCACACCCACACCCAAACCCAAACCCACACCCCACACCCACCCACACCCACCCATACCCACACCCACCCACACCCACACCCACACCCACACCCCACACCCGGTCAACCAGACTGATTAAAGTAGAACCTATCTATTTCTCAAGGCTGACTATATCATGTTGTAGAGAACACTTTGCTCTGTCAGAAAATGTAGTCGTTTCTTTTTTTTCTCATAAAGGAGAGAAAAGCTGCACGACAGACAACATAGGTAGACTTCTTGAAATATCTATACGTTTTCGTGCTTTTAAAGAAACGTTTGAAAAAAGAACAGAATTTTAACTAAAAATTGAAGCGTCATATATATTACGCATGGCGAAGTTTGGACTTTCTTCTGATATAATTTTCAGCCGCTTTATGAGTAGTAGAAAAAAACGGGGAATATCTGAAAACTTCATAAAATCTGGAGTGAGTGCGTTACCGATTAGGGCTTTTAGTTTAGTTTACGCCACAATCATATAGGCATTTAAGTTGATACTTAAGAACTTCCGTTAGCTTTCCATGGACTATCAAAGGGCTAGGTCGGTTTTTACTTACACATTTTTTCTGCCGAAAAAAATGGTAACGCACTCACCTTACCAAACCACTTCCATGTTTTAAACCCCATATATGTATGTTTGATGGGATGGATTGCTTCTATAATACATGGCTTTCGATATGATTTATTAATGTTGCTATCTTATAGAGATGTCAACAAGCCATGATTTCTCTTGGCTTCACGTATCAGGCTTTAGGTTAAATTAGATCTGGCAGGTAGACCTACGCTCGGAGCTTAGGAGTTCACCAATTCATATTTGATCGGTTGATATGTTGACTGAAGATACGTGTGAATTACATTTTTCACCTTTATCATATATTTCATAGAAATCTCGACTGGCTATTTCCTCTTTTTTCGCAAAGAAATGACAAAATGAAACGAAAACCGAAACCATTACTCGATTGAAATATGGCATAAAAACTTAATAAATGAATATTTCAACTAGAACAATTTTTCAATAATATTTTGTCAAAGAAATAGATATGAAATTCATACATTCTTGTTTCTGGACGAAATATGCTATTCAGTATCGATTATAAGAGTGATTTAACAGATAACAGAAAAGTACTTGTGATATACTAACAGTTATGGAAGCACAAACATTAGCTCTACGACACTATTTCGTATCCTATTTTGTATTGTGAAATCTTATATAATTTTGCTACCAAAGTCGAAGAAAGCTATTTTAACACGTCTGAAGTGTGAGAGAAAACAACAAGTCCACCAGAAAAAAAAATTAGAATACGAAAAAGTGAGTGCGTTACCGTAGTATTTTAACTACAGGCCTAAAGCAGCACAATATTTTTAAAAGATTGTTTTACCATTAGATAGCCCTAATTTTCTGCTACAAACTTTCTATGAATCATATCTCTTAATAAATGAACCATTCCCAGGAATCTTAACATTTCTGATACCACTAAGAAAGGGAAGGGCCTTTTTTGTGAGTGCGTTACTGCCCTGTATTTTCCTTGAAAAATTTGAATAATAAAGCCGATCGAGGTGAAACTTATAGTGGTTGTACAGTTTTGCAAGATGCATATATGCACCAAGTTTCAAGGCTTTACGCTTTACCGTTAGAGAGAAATTCAAATCGAAACTTGACAAAATGTGAGTGCGTTACCTGCGGACAAGCCCTAGAGTGAACTATTTTAGAAAACAAATGAATTGAGCTTGATATTTCTATTTATGTATTTGAAAAAATATTTTTTTGATAATATAAATCATTTCAAATATGTTTTTAGATGCAGCCATTTTTCAATTAGAGTTTTTAGACTTTTATATTTACTATCTGATGGCTCATTCAATCCAAGAATAGTGCGAAGCTAAAAACTACTCTTTGTGCTTTAAGACAATATATTCTATCTTACGATTATGTATGAAGTGACTTCAAAGAAAAACTCAATTAAAGTCATTGATTTGAACATAAACGGTGATTGATAAGTTTTGACCCGATTTATAATGGATGAGATTCTTCAAAATGAGATGGAAATCTATGAACCATCATTTATGAACCTTTTTTTCTTTTGATTAGGTTTCCTTATAACCATGTGATATAACAAACTGCATTGGAATTTTTTATGTTTATTATATGTTCTATTCATGTTGAATAGGGATGTGGATGTGAGTGTGAGTGCATGAAGAGAATATAAATAACCACACCCACACACCCACATCCTCGTGTGTGTGTCAGGAGAAGTCGAGTGAAAATGATACTTCCATTGTCTTTGGACTTCGTGCATATTTTCAAAAATCGAAAAAAGTCGCACTATGGCGACTTTTTCTTCCATAATGCGTGTTATAGACATATCTAAACAATTGTAAAGTCAGCGAAGTAATTACATTTTCATCACAAAACCATAAGAGCAGAACTAGGTAGAGAAGAATTGAGAGACAAGAGTACCAGTGCCGTTTTGCACGATGCTTACTCGACTACTCCATGTCCTCAAGTGTATCAATTTCACATAGAACACGAACTTATATAGGAGAGAGAAAAGTAGAAAAAGGAACGAACGACAAAGAGAGAATAAGGAGGGAAGAGTAAGCCAAGAGAGAAGGTGATGATGTCATGGCAGAGTGATATGATTATTGGCACAAACTATGTACATGGAGTGAAGACAATATTTTCCAAAGGTCTTCAGTAATTTATTAGATACATAATTACAGGTTTCAGATGTATGAGTGAGCTGTTTCTGTATGAACTAAACCTTGAAACTCTCCTGTATCCTCGGGAAAAAAATCAGCTTATTTGGTCAAAGTACCGTGAAGATAAGCAAATGTTTTTTTTTTGAGGAATAATTTTCTGGATATTCTATAGTTGTAGAAATAAAATTGCATAAGTGTACAAGTTATTTTTTTAATCACATACTATTATTGATGTCTGTTGACGAAGGTATAGAATTCACTGACATGAATCATGCGCAACATCGAGAACATGTTACAAAATTTTAACGAGATAGATATTGTGAAATAATCCAGTTAGTTGCCATAGTTCTGTTATTTTGATAAGGAAAGGTAAGTGAAATGTGTAGAGACAGACTCAATACAAAGAAAAACCTATTTCAGAATCAGTTTAACGCTTTGCGATCTTTCAGGTTAAGATCAAAGTGTAGTATCTGTTATCGTCGGTTTGAAAGCCGGCGCTAGTCCCATTTGGGCCAGGCTCTTTTAAGCGAATTTTTGGACATCGGCCAAGATCATCCGATTTCACTTGGACTCGTGCCATGGATCATCTCGACACTACAATACCGTCGAGTTCGATCTACTCTCATTTCTTTACGAAAACGGGAATCATAATTATTAATCGAAAAATAATATCAATATATTCTTCAGTTTAGATTTATGCTCATACAAGGCAATTTGCCATTATTCTTCATCTGTGAGTTAAAAGAAATCTAAACGATCATTACTTAGAAGAGCTCATTGCTTAGTGTCACTTGCGCGGTTTGATAACAACAATAAAGTATTGTATTTTATTTTTAGTAAAGATACTTTCATCATATGCATGGAATCTATTGGCAGATATCTCTGAAAGTATTTTAAACGGTAATCAGTGAAACAGAGCCATTATTTTCAATGAATGCATAATACTTTTAGGTTAATCATCATATGAAAATATATTTCATATATGGCTGGCTTTTGCAGAGCGGTATTTGAGTTTCCACTTTTTTGTTTCATGCTGGTTTTTATTATTATTTTACTCTCTTTGTTGTGTCGTATACTCTCACGTTCAACTGGAAATCAAGTTTTTCGATTAAAAATAAATATTCCGGAACGAATTGTATGGTTTTGCTCATCACAACATGGAGAATATGTTAAAGAAATTTTATTTTATTTTCCTTTTTTTTTCTCAGTAGTCCCATCAACATGGGACAATTCATTTGATGTTCTAGTAGTTTATAGCTTACTTTTAAGTAAAGTCCAATTTTTCAAGTGAATCAACG